GGTTTGAGTTCCCCCAGGGGCCCTGTGGTTCTCCCCTCTTTTGGGGGGGCGGGGGTGTGTCGCCTTGGGGGGGGGGGGTACAGGCGCCCTGTGGTCTCACCCCTCTTTAGGAGGCAGGGGTGTGTTACCTTGGGTACAGGTGCCCTGTGGTCTCACCCCTCTTTAGGAAGCAGGGTTGTGTTCCCCGGTGGCCACTAGGACAGCAGCAGCAGCTTCAGTCCTGAGCAGAAGTCTCTTCCAGGTGCTTTGTGGTTGGAAGCAAAGACATGTCCACGTGGGTGTTTGGAGCTGAGCGCTGGGACAACCTCATCTATTATGCCTTGGGTGGACACAAGGACGCCATCGTCGCCTGTTTCTTCGAGTCCAACAGCCTAGACGTATGTTCCATACTGGGGTCCCTAACCCAGCAGTCCCTGAGCCCCCACAAGGTTGCGTCTAGGTTGCCTCTAGGAGCTCTCTCAGGACTGGTGTTGGCCACCTGCCCAGGTGGAAGGGCCCTTGAGGGGCTGGTGTCCCAGAGCCAAACTGGAGGGAGGGTGTCTGATGTCTGCTGGGCAGCCGAGTCCAGCCCGGTGCTTCCCTTGCAGCTCTACTCCCTCAGCCAGGATGGAGCCCTGTGTGTGTGGCAGTGTGACACACCCCCTGAGGGCCTGAGGCTAAAGGCCCCTAAGGGCTGGAAGGCAGACCTCCTGCAGAGGGAGGAGGAGGAAGAGGAGGAGGAAGAGGGAGAACGAGAGACCACCATCCAGGGGAAGGCTGTGCCAGCCGAGCAGGAAAAGACGGGGAAAGTGAAGTACTCACGGCTGGCCAAGTAGGTCTCCGCACCCGGGCTCTGTGCTCCTGTGGGAATGCAGATCCAGGTCTCCAGAGAGCAGGCCCCCAGTGCTTGGTGGAGGACCCTGTCCTGTAAGCCAGAGGAGCCTGCCTCAGGAGTCTGATGTGTAGCCTCTGGGGCAGGGTGCAGGAGGTGGGACAGGAGGGGAGGCGAGTCTAGGGTAGACTGGCGTCAGCTCCTCTGGCGTGTATTGGTGGCTGATCACAGTCACTTAGAGTGGGGTTAGCAACTGTAGGTGGCTGTGTGTCACAGCCTGCTCTGTGGAGTGGCTGCTTCAGCCCACACCCATCCATTCAGTTATTTGGCACCCTCTATGTGCTGAGCTCTGGCCCTGACCCTGGGAACATATCACCTGGCTTCCCCTTAGAGGTGTGGAGGGATTGTGTGGCCATGTGCGGTGACGGTAACATAATGGGGCTGTGGGTGAAGGAGGACCTCTGACTTCAGATAAGAGCCACTGCCTGGGGTAGAGGATAGTACCCTGGAAGGAGGCCGTCAGGGTGACTGGACTGTGGGGGTGCCGGACTGGGAGATGAGGGGTGGGAAGGGGCTACTCTGCCATAACAGGCAGGTTGGATGGACTCGAGGTCCCTGTGGAGTCTTAGGATGTCCCAGCTGGGGTCAGGACTTGGCCCGGGATGGGGTGTGCTTGACCTCATCCTGGAGAGGAAGCATCCACTGGGGCTGTAGGCAGGTACCAGTGTGGAGGGAAGGACCATCTATGGCCTCCACTGTCTGAAAGGGAAGGGTGGGGTGGAGCCTTGCTTTGAAGAGGGCTTGGCGACAGGTCTGGGTCACCACACCTAAAGCTGGAGTTGTTTCCTGTGTTACATGTGAGATGGGACCTGCTAGAGGAAGCGGAGAGCCTGGCGGCCTGGCTGTGCTGCTCCCGCAGCTCCAGCCACTCTTACTCCCCTGGGCCTCTGGCTCAGGCCTTTGGGCAGGAGTGGAGACCCTGGCGGGTGTCTCTGGCCCTGAGCTGAGTGAAGGAGCCTCCATGTCTTCCCCTCTCTGTATGTCAATCCAGGTACTTCTTCAATAAAGAAGGAGACTTTAACAGCCTGACGGCTGCCGCTTATCACAAGAAAACGCATCTCTTGGTCACAGGATTTGCTTCTGGAATCTTTCATCTGCACGAGCTCCCAGAGTTCAACCTCATCCACTCCTTGAGGTGAGTCCTGCTCGCCGGGGTGCTCCCCTGCAGCCCGTGAGCCTTGTGCTCCAACCACAGCTTCAGGCTCGGGTGCGTCAGGTGTTTCTGCTTCGTGCCCTTGTTCTTTCCCATCTCATCATCCTGAGAACGCAGGGAAAATTAAAATGCTAATGCCACAAGAGCCTGCAGGCAGGTGCCAATGTGGAGCGCAATGGGTTTGCAGGGGGGATTGTGTTGGGGAGAGGCGTGGGGCCAAGGGCTGCTGGCTGTCCCTGCTCACCTACCCGTCCGCACCTCATCTGCTCAGCATCTCCGATCAGAGGGTCACTTCAGTTGCCGTCAACAGCTCCGGGGACTGGATCGCCTTTGGCTGCTCAGGTTTGTTCTGCTCTGCCATAGAAAGGAAACCTCCGAGGGACCTGAAGTCAGCCTCAGAGCAGAGAGCAGGGTGGAGCCAGCGTGGACCCTGTGGGACTCCAGTGCCACACTGTGCCTCCTGTAGTGGAGGCGCCCCAGGGAGAGTGGCCTCCAGTAGCCTGTTCTGAGCAGGACCACAGCGGCTCTTGGGGGGGTGGGTGTGGCAGGAGTCCGGGACGTTGAATAGCAGTTGCGCTCAAGGCTCATGCTTGACTTTCAGTCCTTCCGTGGCCTTTGGTCTTGGCCTCTGGAGGCTGTGGCAACGATCCTTGCCCTGAAGTCCCCAGTCTTGCCTCTGCTCTAGCCCCGGGTTGGTCAGGGCTGTGGACGGTAGGGCCACTCCCTTTACTCTGGGCTGCCTTAGGCCTAAGGGCTCATGGTGGGCTCGGACCTGCCTGACCCACGTTGCAGAAGCAGTTGGGGAATACCTTGTCTTGTGCTGGTTGTGGAGGCTGGGGGTCGGTGTCCAGGTGGTACCTCCAACTCCCCTGTGCCCGCAGGCCTGGGCCAGCTGCTGGTGTGGGAGTGGCAGAGTGAGTCCTATGTGCTCAAGCAGCAGGGTCACTTCAACAGCATGGTATCCCTGGCCTACTCCCCTGATGGGCAGTACATTGTCACCGGAGGGGATGATGGCAAGGTGAGCCCTGGGCTTTCATCAGGCTGAGCTGTGGGCAGGCCTGCTGGGTGGGGGTTGGCCTGGAGTTCTCAGGTTTCATCAGGCTGAGCTGTGGGCAGGCCTGCTGAGTGGGGGGTTGGCCTGGAGTTCTCAGGTTTAATAGCCCTGATGGGCTTCTGACAAAGGTAACCGTTTGGTGGAATTTGGAGAGGGTCCAAGGGTTCTGTTAGAGTAATGGTGCCAGCAGCCAGCCTCTGAAGGGGCATGTACTTACTGGGCTGCCTCAGACCACATGCAGCTCTGGCTAGAACTCCAGTCTCCAGGCATCATCTGTGTCTGCAGCTCCCGTGTGCGCCCACCACAGGTGTTCACGACTCCCGTGTGCCCACCACAGGTCAAGGTGTGGAACACCCTCAGCGGCTTCTGCTTCATCACTTTCACAGAGCACTCCAGTGGGGTCACCGGGGTGACATTCACTGCCACCAGCCACGTCATCGTCACCTCCTCCATGGATGGCACCGTGCGAGCCTTTGACCTTCACAGGTACGGTTCCCTCTGAGCACCAGGACTCCAGTTCCTGTGCAGGCAGTGCACTGGGGAGCTGCAGGTCGGGGCGGGAGAGAAAGTGGGGTTGCCTACCTCGACCTTATTCTGCAGGTACCGGAACTTCCGCACCTTCACATCTCCTCGCCCCACACAGTTCTCCTGTGTGGCCGTTGACTCGAGTGGGGAAATCGTCTCTGCAGGGGCCCAGGACTCCTTCGAGATCTTTGTGTGGTCCATGCAGACAGGCAGGCTTCTTGATGTAAGTGCAGCTGGTCCCCTGACTCTCTTCTGCAGGTGCTGGGTGGCAGGCCTGGGGTGAGACTGGCTACTCTGCTCTCTACCTTGCAAAACTGAGCCTTAGCTCAGGGACCTGGGAGCAGAGTGGGGACAGGACTCCTCAGAGTCAAGCAGCATGATTCTGGAAGGCCTGCGCCCCGCTCCCCCATCCGCCTCTGACCTTCTGCTGCTCCAGGTTTTGTCTGGCCACGAGGGGCCTATCAGTGGTCTGTGCTTTAACCCGATGAAGTCCATCCTGGCCAGTTCATCTTGGGACAAGACCGTGCGCCTGTGGGACATGTTCGACAGTTGGAGAACCAAAGAGACCCTGGCCTTTACCTCTGATGGTGAGCTGTGGCAGTGTTTGGCAGACCCAGGGACCAGGGTCAGAGCCAAATGTTCCTGCCACCATCCAGCCTTGATCTTCTCTGGCACGCCTCCCTCGCCTCTGTCTTAGCTGTATATTTGATATGAGCTCAGAGAGAGGGGAGAGTGATGCCAGCCCCGGCCCCAGCAGCTCAGCAACTACTGAGGTAGGTGTGAGGCCAGAGTGGCCCACCGTCGGGCTGCACCAGGTTCTCAGCTGTCTCTTCCTCCTGCTGGTTGAGGCTCCTTAAACCCCTGTGGCCTTGGGAGGGGCCAGCACTCTGCTGGTCTGTGACCCAGGAGGAAGAAGTGCTTTAGGTGCCCTGTGTACCTCTCACCTGACCCTAGCCTTGGGCACGCTGTAGCCCTGGCACTGTCCCCTGTACTTTGACTTGCCCTGTGTTCCCTCAGGGTAACCTTGGCTCTGGCTCACTTTCAGTCAAGCCTTTGTAACTGGATGGCTCCGTGCCCTCCACACCTCATCATTGAGATGGCCAGTGGTGCATGTTCTGGTGGGGCTGTGCGGCACCCCTACCCCCAGGGTTTGTGTTGCACCCTTACACATGAGGGCTGTGTGTCCCGGTGCGAACTTCCTGCAAACCTCAGTGCACTGATCTGGTGTCGGGGCACATCCTGTTTGCTAGGCTCAACTCCTTGGGCCTGAGGTTTGTTTCTCTTTAGCCCTAGCTGTGACTTTTCGGCCTGATGGTGCAGAGCTGGCTGTGGCCACACTGAATTCACAGATCACCTTCTGGGACCCTGAGAATGCCGTGCAGATGGGATCCATCGAGGGCAGGCATGATCTCAAGACAGGCAGGAAGGAGCTGGACAAGATCACAGCCAAACACTCGGCCAAGGGCAAGTGAGTGCTTGGGCGGGGGGGTATGGCCAGAGCAGGGTACAGGCCCCTTGGCTGTCTCGTCTGTTGGGTGGGTCTGGTGCCCTGTATAGACCCAAGACCCTTGAGGCCAGGTGCTCGCAGCCATCTCCTTGGGCATAGTCTTTGTTCTGAGACTGCCTAGTCCCTAGTAGCGGTGGAGCCTAAGCCTCCACAGGAGCGAAGCTGCTTCTGGGTCCAGGCCGCTTTATACCCAGCAAGGAAGTGCTGTAGATGTGCTAGACATGAACTTGCACACCCCAGAGGCAGACTCCACTTTCAAGCCATTGTGAGCCTGGTGTCCGGTGTGCCCCACAGAGGGGTGACGACAGGTGGGCTGCTTTCTGTGCCTCCTGGGACCCAGCTGTAGCCACGTAGTCCTGGACTACCTCTGATGCACCTCTCTCAAGTGGTACCAAAGAAGGGTGTAGCTATGTGCCCTGTTGGAGGTCACGGGTGTGCCTGCCTTGCTGAGGCTAGTCATGGAACACTGGGAGACACTTGTGTGAGAAGTGGTCACCTCCCGGGGTGCACCTACCTGTTCAGGGTGGCATGTGGACCCATGTTGAAGCCCTTGGTGCCTGAGAGCCCATGTCTTCCACCCAGGGCCTTCACCACTCTCTGCTACTCAGCCGATGGCCAGAACATCCTGGCGGGGGGCATGTCCAAGTTCGTGTGCCTTTATCACGTCCGGGAGCAGATCCTCGTGAAGAGGTTTGAGCTCTCCTGTAACCTCTCCCTGGACGCCATGGAGGTGAGTGGTGGTGCCAGCCCCACAGAAGGTGCTCTGGCTCCCAACCCTGGGTGAGCCAAGATGTAGTCAGCACACCGACTGTTGGCTGAGGTGCAGAGCAGGGCCTATACTGGCACAGCTACCCAGCATAGCCTGCTCCTCACCAGGGCCTGGCATCTTCTGCCCTTTGGGGCTGTGATGCCACCTGGTTAGGTGGCTTGGAGGACAAGGGTGTCCAGCAAAAACTGGCTCAACAAATGCTGCAACCCTGTGAGCGAAGGAGCAGGGTCTGATAGTATAGACAGGTCACGGCCAGGCACAGCTTTCTGTCTGTCCCTGGGCCATCTGCAGTTCCAGCGTTAAAAGGGCTGTGTCCCCACCACTTTTTGGGTGCCTGCCCTTGTTTGCTGCAGCCTGTGGCCCAAGTCTCCCTCATGCTCTGCTCTAGGAACACGGGTGAGGGTGGAGTTGCTACCAAAGCTTCTGAGCACGCCTTTGGCTGCCTGGATGCAGCTGTCCTCATGAGGGAAGCTGAGTTCCCATGGTGAGAGGCAGCCCCATCCCCACATTGCCATTGTACAGCCAGAGTGACCGCCCCCCTGCCATCAGTGGCACGCGCCAAAGGAAGAACAGGGCCCATGTGTCGGGTCCTGATTCTAGACCTAGCTGAGGGTTTGCTCAGACCTAGCTGAGGGTTTGCCTACTTTCAGTGGTGTGAGTGAGGGAGAAAAGGGTAACACTTCCATGGCTTCTGTTCTAGGAATTTCTGAACCGTAGAAAGATGACAGAGTTTGGCAACCTGGCGCTCATTGACCAAGACGCTGGGGAAGAGGAGGGGGTGGCAATTCCGTTGCCAGGTGTAAAGAAAGGTGAGCCAAAGTCCCCGTCCATGTCCTGCCCCCACCCACGTTCCTTTTTCTGCTCCCTCCCTGGGGCTGCAGAGTTTGGAGTCAGTGGCTGTTTCTGCATGGTGGCATTCTGCTGGAAGCTGGGGGCCAGCAGCTTCTCCAGATGGAAGAGGGCCCCACCTGTGTGTTCCAGGGACTCCATGCCACGGGGCATGGGACCACCCAGGTCTGTAGACGGTCCTGGTGAACATCCATGAGCCAGAAAACCAGAGCACCTCTATGGAGGCCCTTCCTGGACCAGCGGGCCTACCCTAGGCTGGGTGGGACTTCAGGTCCAGAAGAAAGGCCTGGATGGGAGCCATGCTCGCAGGCCTGTGCACCAGTGCCCGGCTCCATCAAGGCCGCAGCACTTGGGACAGGCTCTGGTGCTGCTGGCAGATGGCGGGAAGACTGCTTTGATCCTGAACTCTGACAGGAGGGGAAGGCTGCTCTTAGGTCCCTTTGGCCCCCCTTGGCCAGTCTGGAGACCTGAAGGCTGGCTTGGCCTTAGTACATTTATCCCCTCCTCCCCCAGGTGACATGAGTTCTCGACACTTCAAACCTGAAATCAGGGTGACATCTCTGCGCTTCTCTCCCACTGGTGAGCCATAACCCTTGGTGGGTGCCAATCCTGGTAGTGTTGGGACCTTATTCCCAGGGACGGGGTCACTGCGGAGCCACTGGCAGGCTCTGGGCAGTGTTCCTGTGACTAGGAAAGAACTGGTTGCATGCTTGCCCTGGTCCTTGAGGTACAGACGGCTGTGTGCTGGCTGGGTAGCAAGCGGCCCTGGGAGGATAGCTGCCTGCAGTCTGTTAGTGCCTGCTATGGCAAAGCAGGAGAAGGGGTGGCCCTAGCTCCCACCGTGGCAGTGTCTTCGAATGTTTCCTTCTTTAAAACCTGGGCTTTCAAGTTCTGAGGACTCCCCTTTGCTGCTCACTTCCAAGGACGCTGCTGGGCGGCCACCAGCACAGAAGGGCTCCTCATCTTCTCCCTGGATGCCCAGATGCTCTTTGATCCGTTTGAACTGGACACCGGTGTGACCCCCAGGAGGATCCGTGAGGCACTGAGGCAGCGGGAGTACACCCGGGCCATCCTCATGGCCTTCCGTCTCAATGAGAGGAAGCTGGCACAGGAGGCCCTGGAGGCCGTGCCACAGGACGAGAGTGAGTAGGGCCGCCAGTGGCCACTCCGCAAACACAGAGCAAACACGGGGCCCCAGGTGTGCCCGCTCCTCCTCCTGACCCGACTTTGCAGAACAAACGTGGCTTCTTTCCACAGTTGATGTTGTCAGTGCTTCTCTTCCTGAGCTGTACGTAGAGAAAGTGCTGGAGTTCTTAGCTGCCTCCTTTGAGGTGTCACGTCACCTTGAGTTCTACCTTCTGTGGACACAGAAACTGCTCATGTCACATGGACAGCGGCTGAAGTCCAGGTAGAATGGGTTCCCCACCTCTGGTACGCTTCACTGGGGGTCACCAACCAGCAGATCATAGTGGCTATGGGTGGGGGGGTCTCCTGCAGATGCATTGATGACGTTGCCTTTCCAGGGCAGGGCAGCTGCTGCCTGTGGTCCAGTTTCTTCAGAAGGGTCTCCAGCGGCACCTGGACGATGTGGCCAAGCTGTACGTGCTACAGGGCTGGCAGGGCAGGGTGGGGCAGTTCTTGCAGCTGCTTCTGGTCGGGATTACTCCTGTGGGGTCTGATTGGGAACAGAAGGTTCTAGTATCAGAGGTGCTTATTCTCCTGTCTGCTGGGTGAATGATTCTGTTTTCCACCCACACCAGGATGTGGGGTGATCACCTCTGGGTGTGGCTGACACTGAAGTGCAGGTACTATGAACACTTGCCACAGCTGGACAGCTGGGAGTGGGACACGCCTGAGGTGTAGTCAAGCCCTTCGCCTTGGGAAGGGCAGGTCACCATCCCAGGCCCATGTAGCCTGACTTGCACCTGCATTTCACCTCTGTGGGCAGTGGAAGTGGTTACAGGCCGTGGGGCTGGGCAGCCTGGATTCCTGGGATATGACACTATGTGCATGGGTCTCCCAGTGTGGTGGTAATACAGTGCTTGGGACATGCTGGCCAGCCGGGTCCTGTGTACATCCTCTGCTGACACCTCCTCCAGGTGGTTTCTTGGTGGTCTGTTTGCCTGTTGTCCCTAGAACAACTCTGGACCATAAAGATGGGTCACCCTATTGAGAGAGCTCATCTGTCACTGAGCAGCTGCCAGATGTCCCACTGACTTGTAAATGGCCTTTTTCCTGTCTACGAGTCTCTATCCAGGGTCCCTAAGAGATACTGGTACCTGGGCCTGTGGTTCTCCACCATCATCCCTTCTGTCTGTATGAGTTAGGAGTCTAGAGCAAGCCCTTCCTGCCCTTTGACCCCCAGTCCTGACTGGCTGCCCTCACGGAAGACCAGTGTTGGGGGGTTGAGCTGAGGTGTGAGATCTGCACTTAGGGAAGTGTGTGGTGCGGCCTTTTCCCTGCCTGGCATGTCCTTAACTCTAGAGCTCTGCAGGAGAATGCTCTTATTCTCCTTTCCTCTTAGATAAGGTGCTTGTCTGCCAGGGCGTAGGACACACTGGCTTTGTGTAGGTTTGAGAGACAGCTATGTCTTTGATATCACGGCAGCCATAAGTGCAGGATGCAGCTTTTTCCTTCACCTCAGTTCTGTGCCCCTCACTCTAGGAGGTGAGGTAGGAATTCCCCTTTGTGGATGTGGAGAATCAGCCCTCTGGCCGTAGTGGAAGGGTGGGTTGCCAGTGCCCTAGGCTGGGCGGGGCAGGAACCAGATCTGCCTGGGAGAGGTGGCAGTATGTTGGCGACAGGAGCATCTGATCCCTGCTGGAGGGTGCTGGGTGGTGTGGGAAGTGGCAGTTGCTTGTGCTAACCTGATGCCCTGTGTCCACAGATGTGACTGGAACCGGTACAACATCCAGTATGCTCTGGCAGTGTCCAAGCAGCGGGGCATGAAACGTGCCCTGGAGCCTTTGGAAACAGAGGAGGACTCAGACACATCTGATGAAGACAGTCTGCACTTGCTTGGGAGAGCCGGAGATGAAGAAGAGATGCCGATGTAGAGCCACCACCGCAGCCGGACTGGAGATGGAACTACTGGGCTCAGGAAGTGGGCAAGGCCAGAGGTCCCAGGACCCTGCAGCAGTGATTTTGTGGGACTGCACACGGGGTCATCAGGGCAGCAGGCCAACTTCTCAGTCCAGGACCAAGATGGGTGCCACAGGCACATGTATGCTGTGGGCCTCAGGTGCTGGAGTTCACCTTTTTGAGGGGCAGTTTCACAGTATGGATTCAAGTGTCCTGTCAGTTATTTATATTTTTAATACAAAGTTCTAAGGGTGAACTTAGGGTTAAAAAACATGAGCTTTTTAAATTTTGAAGACTAGTCTCAACTCTGATTTTCAGATGTTTGTCCTGAGTAGTCATACAGGGTATCAGGTGAGCAGGGTAGAGCAGAGTGGACACCTGCCCAGCCCTGTCATCTACGTAGATACAGACAGGAAGCGAGCACCCGCTGACCTAGGAGGGTAGATGTGACATCCCAGGCTTAGCTCTTCCGAAAGAGGTTGTGCAGGTCTGTGCTGAGATGCACAGTTCATGTGGAAGAGGGGACAGCCCCTCCATCCCAGACGTTTCCTCTGCGTGGTTGGCCAGGCCAGGGCCAGCCTGTTGTTCTCAGTAAGGTGACCCATAGGTCCCAGCTCCCAGGACAGTAACTGCCCACTGGCTTCCTTGGCTGTCAAGGACACAGGAACTGATAGATGTGACATCTGGTGCACTGAGAGCCACAGCTGTCACACCTGAGAGCGCCCTGGTCACCTGGAATGCACTCAGGTTGGAAGACCAGAGTGTGGGCAGAAACCAGGGGCTCTCGGTGTCACCAGGTCTTTTCCATGTGTGGCTCAGAGTAGAAAACAGTTACTCCCTGTTCTGCCCTGCACAGAATCCAAAATGTCCCTCCTCACCTCGGGCTCGTTGATGTCACATGCACGGTAGACAGCTGAATAATGTGCTGGAGATGGAGGACTGTGGTGGGGGCCCAGGAGCTTTGCTCTGTCACTGCCCAGACTCACTGCCTGTTACAGCACTTCCTCTCAGACTGGGGCTCACTTGTTTTAGGCCCATCCTGTGACCCCTCTGTGTGGATAATACAATTTTATGGTGCCTTATCTGTGTGTGGTGCTGGGGAGGGAACCTTGGGCTCTGAGCCACCCCCAGCCATCATCCACCTCTGATGGGTTTGTCATCCGGAAGTAGGGCTCTGTCACCGTTCCGTGCCTTCTCTGGTGCCTCATTGCACACACCTGCTCTCTGTAGATGGCTACATGCAAACTTCCTGACTGCCCCAATGAGCAGCTGTGCTGCAGGGGCCACAGCAGTGTCACTTGGAACTAACCCCAACAAAGGTTGGGCCACCATGCCCCCCATGCTCCTTGACCTTTGCTGTGTACCCCATCCTGTGTCTCCTAAATATTAAGGGGTGCTCTTCAGCCTAAGTCCCAAATGGAAATGCCCAGTAGCTGGGATGTGAGGTGGAGGTTTGATAGAGCCCGCTATCCCCCAGGGCTGAAGAAGCAGGGACACCCCTGAGACCCTGCAGTAGAGCTGGTCAGGACCAGAGGGCAGTGAGTGCACTGTAACAAGCCTACAAGGCCCTGCAGCCGCCATCTCGGTAGCATAAAAACTTTGGAGTGAAGAGCCAGAATGGTATGTCTCCATTTTGGCTAGCTTCTTCAGACAAGCCCGGACAAGCTCAGGCGTATTCTAAATTTTTACAGAAGCTATAACCCAAGCCCTGGACATATAAAAGCTTTATAAGGTATGAACAAAAACTTCTGACCCTAAAAGATATCAGCACTTTCTAATGCCCTCAAGTCAGCCCCTACCAGTCAAGACCCCCCCCCCCAGCAATGCGGGGACATCCAATTACTTTAAAAAGATGCTGGGTGCGGTTGCGGGTTTCCGTGGACTGCCCCAATAAAAGCCCCTGCCTGCTATTCGGGGCCAGACTCCATCTTTGGCTCGCGGAGTCTGTGCCCAGCTAGCCTCCATTTGGTCGTTTTTTAAGTTCCTGAATAAAGTTTTTGTATAATCTTTTTTGGTATCTGTGGGGAATTATTAGCATTTTCGAACCCTAACACGGAGGTTGAAAACCATGGAGTGCGGCCACCCGGCAGCCCTGGGCCTGGCACAAGGCTTGACTGGAGCGGACAGGCGTGCACACTCCGCGGGGGAGTGGGGGGGTGGGGGGGTGAGGAGCGCTCCCCGGTCTGGTTGTCTGGTTGCCTGGGAACCACACTAACAGTACCAGGGAGGCTGGAGACCGGGCTCAGCGGTAACGAACAGGCTGACACGCAACTCCAGCTCCAGGGATCTCATCCAGGAGTACGCAAACAAATCACTGACAGGCGCTGGTCCAAAGACTGCGCAGGCGCGGCTCCGCCCACCATCCCTCGGGACCGAGGAGGGGGCGTGTCCCACTCGCCGCAGCCACTGGGCATGCGCGGCTCCTCCTATGGGCGGGCACACATCTGCAGGCCTGCGCCGCTCCTGCACAGCTCTGCGACCCTGCTGTCCTGCACAGTCATGGCAGCCGTCAGGGCTCTGGTGACGTGGAGACTAGCGACAGCCGCGCGCTCTCCGTTCTCAGGACTCCTGCGGTCTCTCTCTGCGTGCCACACGCCGTCCTCCCAGCGCGCTGCCCTTCACGGCTCTGCGCCGTGCCCCGGGGCCAGGGTCGCGTTGGTAAGTGCTCGGCCCCGCCCCGCCCACTCCGCCCTCCCCGCTGTGAGCCGCC